CTCCCTCCCTCCCTCCCTCCCTCCCTTCTTTCTTTCTTTCTTTCTTTCTTTCTTTTTCTTTCTTTCTTTCTTGGTGGGAGAGAGCTTATTTCAGCTTATACTTTCAAGTAATAGTCTATCACTGAGGGAAGTCAAGGCAGAAACTCAAACAGGGCAGGAACCTGGAGACCAGAGGTGCCACAGCTGACATGAAGGTGTCCTGTCTATTGACTTGCTCCCTATGCTTGTTCAGCCTGCTTCTTTATAGAAACCAAACCAGGGATGACACCTCCTACAATGAACTAGGCCCTCCCCCCATCAATCACTAATTAAGAAAATACAACCAGATTGTACTTATGATGGCATTTTCTCAATTGAGATTCCTTTCAGATAACTCTAGCTTGTGTCAAGTTGACAAAAAACTAACCAGCACAACTGACTCCTTTCAATTTGACACACAAACACATCACTTTACAATTAGAACCTTGACACGCCCATTTACCTCCAAATGGCATGCTAATATTAACAACACAATATAAAATGTAACTTAAAAAGTCCCACAATCTTTACACACACATTAAAAGTTCAGTCTTTTAAAAATCTTTGTTTTTTTTATTATTAATTTAAACTTATTTAAGCAAATAAAATGATGATAAATATGCTAAGAAGAAGATGAGTGGGAATCTATGTGAGCATGGCACAGACAGGAGCTCTTAGGCAGCAACAACCGCAGAAGCATAAAATATTAAGTAGGTGGTAGAAAGAAAGCAGGGCTAGATGAGCCAGGATCCTGTCACGTGAAGAATGTGAGCCCTCGCCCATAGAGACACTGAAATTTTGAGGGACTTTGACAGAAATGTCGTTATGTTTTGTGGATACTATCTTGATGTCACTGTCTAGAACAAGGAAAGCCAGGCAAGAAACAGATAATAGACGGAATTACCCTTGAGGAGATGATGGCAACAGTTTGTTAGAGATCTAATCTAACGGCAGAGATGATGTAGACAGGGTCAAGAGATATCTATGTATATGAATAAACTACTTTTGGGGGGTTGTTGCCTCTCTCTCTCTCTCTCTCTCTCTCTCTCTCTCTCTCTCTCTCTGTGTGTGTGTGTGTGTGTGTGTGTGTGTGTATGTGTGTGTGTAGTTGGGCAAGAAAGAATGAGTTTAGGATAACCCTAAGTTTTCAATGTTATGCTTATAAAGGCACCAATACTTAAAAGTATCACACAAAGGAGAGAACTACCATGTGGGAATGGTAAGAAATTTTGTTGAATCATTGAGTTTGGTATGCCCATGGGAGATCTAAACTGGAATCACAGTCAATAAATGAACAAGCAGTTCTGAAACTTTGGGAAACTATTTGAGCTGAAGATAAATATTGCAATGCCATCCGCTTATCAATGATTCAGACACTTGAACTTCATGAGCATGAGAGTGTGCCTGTGTAGTATACATCAAATGAACAAACTGAGGGATGAAGATGGAATTCTGGGAAATCTGTATGTTATTCAGGTAGAATGGATGAGTGTGAACGTAGGTGAAAAGAAGTAATGGCTTAGGAAGAGGAGCTGGATGAAATGTGCCAGCACGCAAGTGTTCCAGCAAGAGTATCTAAAGGTGTTGGTTGGGATGCAAGGGCACCCTGTGGGTCTGGAATTGTGCACCTTAGAATTTTCAGTTTATGATTTATAAATTAAATGAGCTACAGAAAGTGAAGTTTTTCAGTAAATCAGTTTTTGACAGGTCAGGGTCCACAAACAAGCAATTGAGTTATGGTCACTGAAAGTCAGGGACTGAACACCACACATACTTAGAAGACGGGGAAGTTGGAGGCAAGGTTGGTCAAGATGGCCTTGTGTGGTTTCTGTGTTGCTTGGTTTTAGTTTGGAATAGTGGTCTTCAGTATGCTTTCAGAAAGAACATTTTTCAACCAGGGTGGAGATATGTTGAGGACACAGGAAAATGAACACATACCAGGGAAAAAGAACCAAAGAAAAGGTGATCGCCAGAGAGCAGGGATATTTGTTGCTGATGGGTCTGTGTGATACGGATTGAAGTTGGAGGCTGCATTATGGATAGAATACCAGGCTACACTGAATGAGTCAGTTTTCTCCTGCTGGGCAGAACATGACCATCTGAGAATGGAGCGGTGGGCACTGAGCCTAGGTGAAATTCTCATCAATCTTGCGAGGTACAGATTGCCTATTAAACTATTTAATTAGCAGCACTACCGAATCGATGCTTCAGTGCTCCCAGGCTTTGTGTTCTCCTAGATATCCAGAATGAAAGCCTTTTATCTGCATTATCAGGCAGAAATAGAACAAGCAGTCACATATTGACTTTCCTCCTGATTAGCAGGCCATGGCCTTTTAAAAGGAAAAAGAAATACACCCCTGTGTTAGAGAAGTCTGCCTTTTGTGGCTCAGGCTATCTGGAGCCATCTGTTTACCTCCTGGGTTCTCCTGGTAGAAGCTGTGTGCTGTGCTTACCAGGAGCCTGCACTTTGGATTGAGAGACATTCATCCTTCTCATCTGAAAGCTGAGTGTGCCTCAAATGATTTCACATCTCTGGGCTCTACTGCTTATATTAACAGATTCTAAGTCATAAATCTAACTGTGCGTTTGGCTTATGACAGACACCAGCATCGCATCATAATTGTGGGTGACAGTTATAATGAGATGCTACAGTCTATTTTCTTTCCTTCTTCCTCTCTCTGTCTCTCTGTCCCTCCTCTGTCCCTCTCTCCCTTCCTCCCTCCCTCTCTTTCTCTCTTCCTTCTGTTTGCTGACTGACCTGTTAAATAAATGAGCATTTTAATTAAGGAAGTTCTACAACACTTAGTATTCTGTAATTTAAAATAAAATTTTCATATGAAACTCAGTGCAATATACAATGATTATACAACAATAAAATAATAAGAATTAAAGATAAAATATGAAGAAATGAAGAAAGTCTTAGTGAGAACCTTAGTAACTGACTTGTTTATGGAAATTTTTTGCAGAGGTCTCCAGTAACCCGGGAACCTCACAATGCCTTAGATGATGGAGTATAGTGCTATCTCATTTTCTTCAATATATTATATCAGAAAGGATCCCAAGATATCTACTAAAAATTAACCTTTCCTATTCCATTTCTTCTGTAACTGTATAAATAAAAAGTCCAGTATGAAGAAGAAACCAAACAGCTGGTCTATAGGAGTATCACTGGGTAACATAACTGAATGTTGTTCTTTCGAATTTTGTGATCAATTTTGCAAGTATGGGTTATCACCAAACTTGTAGGTAGCCTTCAGGACTTAGTGAACAAAGGTGATAGAGCTGCCCGCTTTGTTTGAGAAGCTCCAGACACCTTAAGCAGGACGCCCTAAGGAAACACTGCAATCTAGCTTCATTACAGCTGTTGTACCTGGAATTACAGGCAATTAGGCTGGGGAGGAGTGGTGGAGCAGAAAGGGAGCCCTTCCTAGGATGAGAGGAAATGCTGAGCCTTACATGGAAGGAACAGATTAACTCAAGTGTCAGCCTTTATTTCTGTGGTTCCCGATGGTTTAGCTGTTTATCCTCTGTGTACAGACAAGATCAGCAATAGCATGGTCAGTCTCAGGGGCGTAGTTACTGTGTTTCTGTACACAGAATGGGACAGTGGGGGCTGGGGGAGGGTATCGTGGCATTTGCCTGTGTGTAGATTTGCATTTGATGGAGGTGACAGAGTAGGTTTTAGCATTCTTTCTTTTGTTCTTACTACAGAATCTCAGTAGGCCTTTTATCGCCCCCCCTTTCTCTCTCTCTCTCCCCAGTGTGTGTGTGTGTGTGTGTGTGTGTGTGTGTGTGTGTGTGTGTGTGCTTGTATGTGGGGTGAGCATGTTCTTATGTGTGCACATCTTTGTGTGCAGTGCTGTTGCCTATGTTTGTGGGTGTGAAGGTCAGAGGTTGTCTTCCTTTGTCATTCTCTACCCTGTTTGGAGAGACAAGGTTTCTCACTGAACCTGGAGCACCCTGGTTTCAGGGGGCTGGTACGCTCAGGCATCCCCCTGTCTCCACCTCCCCAGACTGGGGTTGTAGATGTGTTCCATAGCACCTGGCTTTTAATGTGGGTTATGGGGATCCTGTTTGCACAACACAACATACATCTTACCCACAGGGCCATCATCCCAGCCACTACCTTCTCTTCTTCTTTTTTTTTTCTTCTACCACTCTGGCTCAGCTTGTAGCTTCTGTAATCACTTCACCTGCTTATACAATGTCAATCATAATGGACATTCTGTGTGCAGCATTGAGGCCAGCGGGAGGAAACTTTCAACTTTTTACCTTGCTCAGACATCTTCACACCATTCAGTCCTGGCAGGTGCATTCTAAAAACAAGCATTTCCAGAGGTCACAGAATCGACTAAAAATCCAAGGTGACTCCTTTACTTGATAGGGCTTGCTGGTGAGTTACTGGAGCTTGCTACCATCTACGTTTGTGTAACGTAGTCTCCCAAGATCCTCATGCCAGCCAGTTTCATTCCCTAGTCATTATATCTCTGTACAAACAGTTGCAGCAATAAATGTTTGAACAGACATGATTCTGCCAGAAAATGACTCTGACTATAGTACTAATGTGTTGGAGAATGAGCACAGAATGGAAGTGGTTTGGGTTTAGTTTTTTCTACCTTGACTGATTCATTCAATATGCAACAGAGATAGAGCGTCCTCAATGTTTAGTGTTTGATATTTACAGAGGAAAAAAATTCTATACAGAACGGTATCATTTGTTTAGTAATTTACCAAAAAAATGAATAATACTCTTCTGAACCTATTTTTCATAACACCTTTGATATAGGAGTTATGAATTTACATGGTCCTGCTCAAGATTAAATAATGAGAACATCATGTTTCAGCCCTACTTCCTTCTTGTTGAGTTTGACTCCTTTAGAAAATACTTCATTAATCTAGGGCTCATCTATTTTATGTATATTTATACTCATGTTTTGGCAGGCATGTAAACAGTGACTAAGAAGACTGTGAATGACGCCTACGTGGAAAAACCAAAGGTTAAGCCCTTTGATCTAGTGCAGTATTTTTAACAATTTTAGAACTTGCCCAACTGTCTGTATAGCTACTAAACCTATACTTCTTCTCTTTTTAAAACTTTATTAACTTTATTATAAAAACACCCTGAAAATGAATTGAAAAGCATCACATATCAAATTAACCAGACCCAAAGTCAATACAACTTAATGAACTTCTACACAGTGAGAATTGGCATTCAGAATGAAAACTGTGGAGCTTCACATTAGATTTTACACTTTTAGTATTGAATATGTTTTATTTACTTATCCATTACTAAAAACAAAAAATTCCACAACAGAATTAGAACTAGAAAAACAGTTAGCTTTTGCTCCCCTTTCATAGCTCATATCTATTACCAGCCTTCAGTCCTCCCTCAGTCCTGAATGATAAGCCTTTATTGCTCTTTTCTTATGTTATACTGCACCCACATGCACATTTGTTTATATAGATATACATATATTATTTGCTAGATTCTGCACTTGTGATATTCTGATATATTTCATGCCTTAAAAAGTACTGTTTTAACATTTAAAGATATGAATATAAAATCTTTAATGTACCTAAAATGGAAGCAACCTAAATGGGTATCAGTTAGGACTGTCAGTAAATATAAAGTTTACCAATGGAAAAATATTCTCCAGAACAATGGCAAAGAATAAGATTCCATGTATTTTGTTTGGAAAACACATTGCAAAGTGGTATGGGCTTTTTTACTCTATTTTTAAAATAAAAATGCAGGCAACATATGACCACGGCTATGAATGTAGCAAATTTCTAATGATAAAATATATTTAATTATATCTGTCAAAGTATAGGTAATGATTACCTCTGGCATCTGAAGTTAAAAAAATAATTTTTCCTAATATTAATACCTAAAAACAGGAGAATGGAACACTAATCATTATAATCTGTTTTTGCTTTTAAATTAACTTGTAGGAATTTTATTACATGGTCCTTTCACAATAGCATTTGTGTGTACTGAGTAAACATACTGTATTTATGAGTCATATCTGAAACAAGAAGTTACCAGCTAACAACTCAACAAAAAATTTAGTTAAAATTCTTTAAAGTTAATGAGGAGCTGTGGAAAGAAAGAGTCCTAAAAGATCTAAGGCCTGGATGGGTGAGTCTCCTGCATAAGTGAGGGACAGCTGATCTTTTCATACTCGGGTATGAATGTGGAGGGTGGTGGCAGCGCTTGGAGAGGGTAGGGCTATGTTTGACCAAGGAGAAAGCAGTCACATTTCAAATGACCCAGGCAGCCTGGATTTGAACCCACAGAGGCCTCCACAGATGGCTCTGTCAGCTAATTCCCTGCCAGGAGGACCTGATGAGACCCAGAGCTGGAGAAGACACTGGAGAGCAGGAAGAAGTGCAGAGTCTTCATCCTTACCTGCCACCTTGTAATCTGCATTCCTCCAGTCCCGTGCCTCGTGTCTCCTTACACCTGCAGCTTGGATGTCTCCTGGTCTTGTGATTTGGTCACAGGATCTGAATGGAGGGGGAGGACTCAGTCTACTTAAAACCACTGCAAGTCATCAAGTAAATAAATCTAGTTGATAATCCTCCCTCAGTTCAGCTGGAGATGAGCATAGATTCTGTGACAGAAGAAGAAGGTCTTCAGAGAAGAGAGAGCTCACACAAACTCATGATGTTCTAACTTTAAGGTTGTCACAGAGGAGTGACAGACACAGCGTCCAGACCAGCCTGACCCCCTGGCTGTAATCACCCTAAACAAACACTGAGACACAGCACAGTGTTATTTTGTGTTTTTTCAAATAGTGTTTATTTATTTATTTATTTATTTATTTATTTATTTATTTATTTATTTATTTATTTTTACAATACTATTCAGTTCTACATAACAGCCACAGATTCCCTT